TGGATTCTGTGTCTTCCTCTCTCTTTGCCCCTCCCTTACTCATGCTCTCTCTCTGTCTCAAAAATAAATAAGCATTAGGGGCGCCTGGGTGGCGCAGTCGGTTAAGCGTCCGACTTCAGCCAGGTCACGATCTTGCGGTCCGTGAGTTCGAGCCCCGCGTCAGGCTCTGGGCTGACGGCTCAGAGCCTGGAACCTGTTTCCGATTCTGTGTCTTCCTCTCTCTCTGCCCCTCCCCCGTTCATGCTCTGTCTCTCTCTGTCGCAAAAATAAATAAACGTTGAAAAAAAAATGTAAAAAAAATAAATAAGCATTAAAAAAAGTTTTTTTAATGTTAACTGGTTCTGACAATTTACAACACATAATAATTTATAGCACTGATTTCCTTTAATTAAAAATACTTCATCTTTAATGTTTGATGAAAGATTTTGTAACAATCACTAAAGAATTACTCTTTGCAAAAAATGTGGCAATATAGTTAATATATTTAATCTGTTTTCTATTGAAAAGCTTGTTCAAACCCAAAGGATATGACCTGCAGTCTACTTCATAACACTATCTTAACTTTCAAAATTCAGTGGAAAACTCCGTGTATGAAAAACACAAACAAATCCTTAGATCTGAAAATCAAAATAACTGAACGAAAGATAACTTGGACTTCAGTTACGTATACATATTTAATGAATCCCTTATTTAATTAATTAACATAATCCCTTGTTCTTCTAAAAATGCATATATTTTCTAAAGAATCTCAGTGGATTTTGCAAAAAGGACATATGAGCCCAGTTAACAAAGTGAACCGTGAGATAGTTTGAGGAGGAGGTCACACCTGGCATCGTGGCTTGTGTCCACACTAAAATTCAGGGATCTTCCTGCCTAGCTCCACACTAACTATTCAGCTTCATTTTTATATACAAGTCATCAAAATTAACATTATTTTGTCTAACATACCCTTCACCCCCACCTATTTTATATCGGAATCAGACATATATATACCGTATCTATTTTATGTCTTAATACAGCTCTGTAAAGACTATTTCAAATTCTAACAAAAAGAAAAAAAACTGAAGACACCTGATAAAACTAGGTGTCCGTTTGACAAATTGTGGGAACTTATATCCCAAAATTTTGTGTGAGACTTTAATATGAAAAAATTTTAAATACCGACTTTTAGACCGGAGGTAATACTGGACTATAACATATCCACTGGGAAAAGAATGTATTTTTTTAGTAAGCTCTAAGGAAGGTGATTTTTTATGATGCACTAGCATATATTCATATCCATTGGCATATATCTGAAGTCCTCAATATACTTTTACGTTATGATGTTTCCAAGTCACAGGGATAGAGTATCCCTTCACTACAATGTGCAAATAACCAGAATACGGGCAAATATGAGCAACTCCAGAAAGTACAGCTATTACAAGGATCATCATCCTGCAAGAGATGTATCGTGACTTTCTCTGCTCTGTCAGGGATATATATGTCCCTGCTCCTCAGTTGTCAAATATTTTAATATATGTTTAATTGCAGAAGGAATATTCTCATTTTTAAAAGTAGGGAAGTAGAATTTCTAATGCAAGAATTAAATTGCAGTAATTATCCTAATTATAATTTTTAGCACATTTTGGAGTGATAATTTAGTTACATAGCCAATGAGCTGATTATTAAAAATGGAAACATGTCACAAAAGTATCAGCTCGAATTCTAAAAGCACCTGCTCCAGGTAAGGCCCCGCACTGGGCTCAGTAATGAAAGTACTATTATTACTGCCTCCTGTTTTCAAGTGAGAAAACCAAGAGTAAGTGATACAGGCTGCCCTAGAGAGAGAGCATGGTGAGTTTGTGATGGGGCCAAAGTTCAAGGACTGGTCTGACAGTGTAAGCTGTGTCCCTGACTACTCAAATTCAGTTCCAATCCCTCCTCTGGGGACATGGCCCATTATCAACTGTTTTTATATATTATCTGTAGAGCCAGATATATTTGTTTTGATCTTGGTAGCCACGGTGTTAAGAAAATTTAAGGAAGTGTCTAGAAAATGCAAAGGAGTGAAAATCAGCGAGTAATGAGCATTGTTTTCATAATGCACTGACCATACCAGCTGTTTGCTCAGTATTAATGTTTGCGTCCCTTCAACCATCTTTTGAGATAGATAACTAATGTCTTCAGTTTGACAAATGGGAGAAACAGCCTCCAAGGGGTTGCCTAACTAGAACGTTGCAACTGTGTCTATCTACAGATTCTGTATTTTGTCCATGCCAGCTTCTCAAAGAAAATATGTCACCTGAAAAATGATACAAAATTAGAAAACAGGATCATTGGTTGCCTTGGAGAGAATATTTATCAACAGTCATAGTCTACCCATCTTGTTGACAGAGTGGGTTTTATTATGCTACCATGAAGAAAGGCATGCTCTATCCCAAACAGGATTTGGCTCAAATAATAATGTCTGATTTTGCTTGGTCCTCTCAAGGCATGTTCTCTATGGGCTGGCCAGCTTTTCTGAGCATTACACCAAATATTAAAGAAGAAGGAGCAATGAAAGAAGATTCGGGAATGGAAGACACACCGTACAATGAGGTTGGACCAATATAATCTAGTGCACAGTAACTGAGAAAACAGATGCGTTGAATTGTTACATTAAGCTAAATATGGAGGAGAAAATCTTATTCAGAAATCAAATAAAGTTACTCTAGAATATGACTTAGGCAAAATGAAAGGCAGGCTACAGTTCAGCTGAGAATATAAATATCAGATTCCACTGATAAAGTATAATTTTTGATGACTACTTAAACTAAACTTTACTTCTCTAAAATGGACCCAAATGTGTTCTATCAGCTCTTCTATAAGATATAAAATCTCTAGTCCTTTGGTAAATACAGTAAGGGATACTGAAAATTTTGTGAGCTGGTCACAACTTTTTTTTTAATGCATTAGAAAGTGTATTTGTAAATACACTTGTACAGAAAGGCTCACTAGTTTCTGCAGAAAACCTTCTGATTTGCAAACCATGGTTATTTTTCATTAATTGAAAGAAGTACTGATAATTGCAATAATTCTGATGAAGAAAATAGAGCTTCTTCATCAAGTAAGTAAAATATCTCATAAGCTAATTGTTTCTATCTTAATGTTACATCAATTGAAAAAAAGGATACAGAAAGCAAGTTTGGGGGCAGAGTTCAATTTAATTTTATAGATGGTTTTATATTCATTTAGCATACCTTGAAAATAAGCAATAAATGCAACTACATATTTAGATTAACTATTTCAAATAATGCTTCAGAGTCTTTTCTGCGAAGACACTGTTGAAAAGATTCCAACAAATAATTGACTTCCTTTAGGGAGTATATAATTTGATTCAGCTGAACATTTATTAGACCACTAGTATATGTGAGGCATTGAGTTAAGGTGGGGAGAAGAGCTAAATAACCCACAATTCTGGCTTTCAAAAAGTGTAGAATCTTGAGAAAGGCGAACGTTTTTCAGTATAAGACCCATCAAGTATAAATATACGCAACTAAAGGAAAATAACTTCTTACGTGACAGTGGTGGGGATGGAGATAGAGTTTGGACAACCATTCAAAGACCCTAGAGTTCCTATAAAGGCTCAGGGCAGTGGAGAGCTCATGATCAGATGTACATTTTAGAAAGCTGCTTGGAGAACAACACATAGGACGGACTGGAGTGCAAAATACATTATTAGCAGACCACTATGGGCGTTGGGGGGAAATGAACAGGGTTTTGATCCAAGGCAGTGACCGTGGAATGGAAAGAATGAGACAGACCTGAAGGCATTTCATAGATTCAAATTAGCAAGCTTGCAGGACTAAGTCAGTGATGGAAAAAGAAAGATCCAAGACACCACCATCCCCATGTCCAGGGTGGACGTAGATGCCAATAACAAAGATAAGAAACAGAGTAACCCCACTATGAAGAAAATTGACACTGTAGCAGTTTTGAAAACCTGGTTCAGGGAGGAACCACAGTGTTCATCGTGTTGAATCTCCTTTCGATTTGGGGAATTGCAGAAAATCCTGGTGGAGCAGCTCTACCTGTGTGCGGAGTTTCTTTGGAAGTCTGAGCGATATGAACTCATCGCTGACGTCAACAAACCCATCATCGCTGTCTTTGAGAAGCAGAGAGACTTCAAGGTACGTTTTCTAAAGCTAGACGCTGGTTAAAATATCCTGCTCTAAATTGGTGATTTACTTACAGTTTTCAAACGTGGAAACTGCCTATTTTATATGTCAACATCATCGTCACGAAACCCTTTGATTTATGGTTTCAGAAATTATCAGATCTCTACTACGACATTCATCGGTCGTACCTAAAAGTTGCAGAGGTGGTGAACTCAGAGAAGAGGCTGTTCGGTCGCTACTATCGTGTAGCCTTTTACGGGCAGGTAAGTTTACCAGAAGCTCCGTGGCCTGGAAATTCTGTTAAACAACTAAACTTTATCTTTCATTCTCGATGAGACGGCTGACTCCATGTGCCAGGGGATCAAGAGGATGTGGGTGTGTCTACGTACATATGAGGATTTTTCTGGATACACGAGTCCTGTGTTTGTCTACAAGAATGTACTGAACTGGGAAACAAATAGAGAAATCCATGGGCCTTAGTACAGATCGAGTTGAAACCAATGATTTCTAACTTTTTAGAGAAAGAGGACACTTATTTTTCAGCATCCTGAGCTGAGCCACCCAGGCACCCCGAACATTCCGTTTTTTCATTTTCACAGTTGCGATGACTCCTGCCCTCTCATTTCCTTTTCTTCCCTCCCCTCAGGGTTGCCTATAACTTTGTTTTCTCCTCGGAATCTTTTAAGGCTGCAGCTGAAGAAGTCAGATCCAGCCTGATCATTCTAGGTCATTTCCCATTGAAAAATGGATTTTGCCCACCTGATGGTTTCTCCAGCCCATATCTAATCTAGGCATGCTGACCAGGTAGAAATAAAATATGCTGCTTTCCTACCAAATTTTAATTTCTTTTGAGAAAAAAAAAAGTATTTTCCTCTAATCACCAACGGCAGCTTAAAGCTAACTTCTTTCTTAATTAAGAAAGATAAGCTTCTCTCTACCTGGAAAGAAAAATATCACCCCTTGGCCACTTTCCATGAACAGGTTAATCCAACTCAGATGTTCCTCCTGAGGCACAACAGCATCAGGAGTATGGAGATGGACAAAGCAGGTGGAAATGGCCCACGGATAGAGACTAAACGTAGACATGAGAGAGAAGCAGAACTATTTGAAGTGATACGTACATTGCAGGGAGAAAGCGTAGGAATCCGCAGATGAGAAGGAGAAAGATAAGGGAAGGGTATCTTGAATATCATGCAGAAAATAAACAATTTTTGACCTCAGTGAAACTAGCAAAAAAAAAATGGCAGGACACCCCATCGAGAAGGGAATGTGGGCATTGAGGGATTGCAGGAGAAAAACAGGGTTTCTAGGGAGTGGCCACAGACCAAATGAGCAGGAGAGAAGTGGCACACACGATGTGCACTCAGCTAACCAAGATTCGCATCGACAATCCTTCAGGCCGTCTTTCCAACGAACAAGTAATAAACTGCCATTAAGAGTCCGGTCGTGAAAACAAGATTGCCCACCTGATGGTTTCTCCAGCCCATATCTATTCTAGGCATACTGACCAGGTAGAAATAAAATATGCTGCTTTCCTACCAGATTTTAATGCAGATGTTTGTTCTTTTCTTCTTTTGGTCTTGATGGTTCCAGGCTGTGGTAAGTTTTCTCTCTCTCTCCATTTGCATGCCCTAATAATCCTCACACTTCCCTCCATATGGTTTTACTGAACCGTAACTTTTTTGTGTGCAAATCAGCATTGGGTACGATGGTGGGATAATCCTGCTTCCATTCATTTTGGAGTCATCCGGCATTTCCCGAACTAAATTGTGTTTATTCCAGTTATCTGAATTACAAAAATGTATCGTTTATTTTATGTGTGTATTATCATTCTGCACAAAGGGAGATGTAGTTTAAAAACCTACGTAACCACACGTACACTCCAGTGCACATTCAGATAAATACGAGCACCACGCGTTTGCAGGGCGTGTAGAGTAGGCTTAGTGTTGGAGATTGTCTGCTCATTTCGGACCACTGTGACTCACAGCTGATTATAAAGGGCATGGTGGTCAGAGTCTTAGAGGTTGGAGCAGTGGTCATTGATGGGCACCCTGCCAGTCTCCTGATCGGACCCTCCTCCTTTCCATACGAGTGTCGTAGAGAAATAGGGCTGTCTTTGGTGGGGAACTCTGAGCAGAGGTGATGGTCTCGATACCCAACACAAAAGATGACCAGTGGGCGAAATCTTTACCCAGTAGGGCAGAGTAGGTCTCTTGAGATGTGAAGAGAAGTGTATGGAAACCAATTTGACCATCAATTTCATATTTAAAAAAATAAAAATAAAATAAAAAATAAAATGATGAAAGAAAGAAAGAAAGAAAGAAAGAAAGAAAGAAAGAAAGAAAGAGAAAGAAGAAAGAAAGAAAAGAAAGAAATTTTGGAAAGGCAGCAGAGGCAGAAATATCACGCCGGCACCTAGAGCTCTGGAACACAGAAGAATTTTCTCATTCTGTGAACCATGTGAATGTGCCTATATTCAATCATTTTGTACCTACAGAAATGATTCCACATAATTATTGTCGATTAAGTTGGAAAGACAAATTCTTTCTTTATCCACACATTGTCTGACCGGTACATACCTTTTTGTAATTCTTTAAGCCCTCCCCGTGTCCCCACCAGTATTTTCTACCTTCGTCTATAAAATTGGGGCCATGGGTCCTTAACTCACCTACTAAAAGAATACTTGAAAACCCTTGTACTAAATAGACTGAGGGGGGCAGTGGGAAAGGTCTGGAAAGAGCTATTTTCAAATGACCTAACTTTGTTCTTTTTGCAGATTTCTCAATAACGTGTGCTGACTGTGCACTTGGTTTTTTTCTCTTTTAACGCTGCCAGTATTCTCAAGTGTCTTTCATTAAAAGTTCCAACCTAAGCCTAAACGTGTTTTGGAAAATCTGCAGACCTGGGTACATGCCTAAGCGTGGTACTTTCTAAGCCCAAACCCCAGCCCCCTTTGAACAAAACCTAACGGAGGTCATCTCGATACACGGCAATGTAGAGCCTTGTTCATCACTGTTCAGATGAAATTCAAAAAGCTGTCCCAGGACCCCAAGTGGAGAGTGTGAACATGTCTTGAACAGGAGCGGACAGTGCACATCACTTCACACTTGATGATGAAGAGATACTAACTCGATTTGAACATTTCCCTGAACGTGCACAGAATGAAAGTTCTAAAGATCTAAGATAAAGTCTTAACTACTTGATTAGCATAATCCCCGTAGTCAGAAATAATTTCTTTTTCATGATGGCACTTTATGCCCCTGTAAAATTCAGCTTTTAATATCCAAATTGGCATGTCTTGCAATCATGTTACGAAGATTATGGGAATACAATATGCTATAGGCTCTTTGCCTCCCTAAGGCCTTCCGGTAAATATTTTAGCGTCCCGTGTGGGTAGTGCTTTCATCACATGGTATTGGCTAGTGTAGTTATTATGTCTGCAAGGAGGCAGATAATAGAAAACAAGTTGGAAACTCCTTTTTTTCATGGTGGGGGCCTTAAGAACGCAAGTCTTGCATAACACGGATTTTCAAATGCAGCACCTGACGTCATTGACTGTGGAAATTTTACACAGAGCGGCCTATATAAAGCACCCTCCAGAGTGTCCCTGATGTATTCATTTCCAGACTGATGAAACAGCAGTAGTGATCAAACACCACCTGTAATCAATGAAATACTTAGGCCCTGACATTTAGCGTGAAAGCAAGCAAGCGAATACCCATTGCATAACTTAGAATATCAGCTAGACGCTCTTGGAATATATAAATGAAAGGCTTGGGGACTGTTTATTCCGGTGGCCAAAAGATACAGATTTCATGGTTCCCCATCTTGCCTGCATGGGTGTAGATGTGTCTCAGAAACTTGACAGAAAAGAGATTAAGAGGAGGAGAGAAGGCGGATGTGTAGTTTGAAAAACCACCTTCTGGTCGTGTGCTACACCCTTCTGGCTCCCCATGTATATGAAAGTCATTGATATAGACTATATTTTTAATACATATAATTTGTGTTTAAAATATATAGAGGGGCGCCTGGGTGGCGCAGTCGGTTAAGCGTCCGACTTCAGCCAGGTCACGATCTCGCGGTCCGTGAGTTCAAGCCCCGCGTCAGGCTCTGGGCTGGTGGCTCGGAGCCTGGAGCCTGCTTCCGATTCTGTGTCTCCCTCTCTCTCTGCCCCTCCCCCGTTCATGCTCTGTCTCTCTCTGTCCCAAAAATAAATAAACGTTGAAAAAAAAATTTTTTTTAAATAAAATATATAGAGATCTATAACACATATGTATTTAAAATATATATTGAGAGAGAGGTTTGTATTTCTATGAAAATGTTTGTCTGCATTCTTGTAGCTTAGCTTAGCATTTAGCCTTTTAATACTTTCGGACCCACATTTATACACGAGGTTCCTCTTTGAATGCATTCCTTTGCTCGTGAACTTCAAAATACTTAAGTAGAATAGCAGGGGCGCTTATATTTGACATTCCCCGTAATGATGCAGGGGCTTTGTGGATTCTGAAGAATCTTCAGAAACATCTAATAAGGAGTCAATTTTAGTTACCAGTTCCACTGAAGTATATTTTTATCATCATCTATTGCCTGCACGTTTCGTAACTCGTGGTTGTTAACTGCGCTGATTCAGAGTCCTTGTTTAACTGGAATATGTGCTGTTTCCTCACAACGACTGCTCAGAATATGTATCGCATTGTACCATGACATTTAGAAAGTCAAACTAGCAAGGGAAATGCAGAGATCACATTTCCCATTGCCACGAAAGGCAGTTTACTCGTAACCTTGGGGCGGAAGCAAAAGACAAACGAGCCCTGGGGTTGTCATCACCTGTGTCCCTACTGATGAATCATTTATTTCAGAGAGCTGGAAATTGAAAACTCCCCTAAGACAGTGTCCTGTGGCTCAGTGGGCTATGCTTTGATAGTTTCTCTGGGTAAAAGGTAAGCACACGTTCCCCCTATTTTCAGAACTGCCATTGACCTGGCTCCAGAAGCTCTTGCGTGATCCCCAGAAGATGGCAGATGAAATTTTTATTTTTTTATATTTTTTTTTTAAATTTTTTTTTCAACGTTTTTATTTATTTTTGGGACAGAGAGAGACAGAGCATGAACGGGGGAGGGGCAGAGAGAGAGGGAGACACAGAATCGGAAACAGGCTCCAGGCTCCGAGCCATCAGCACAGAGCCCGACGCGGGGCTCGAACTCACGGACCGCGAGGTCGTGACCTGGCTGAAGTCGGACGCTTAACCGACTGTGCCACCCAGGCGCCCCAGCAGATGAAATTTTTAATTCTTGCACGCCAGCTTCTTTCTACTTCTTACAGAAAATAGTCCCAACGGGTGTCTATTTTCAGGCCAAATGAGTAAATAATCACAATTTCTTTCTGATCAGTCACTTACCAAGATATTGAAATCAGCGTCAATAGACCTTTCATATAATAAGGAAAACTGTAGTTGCTGTGCAGAGCAGCTGAAGATGTGTATTTTGAAGCACTCCACACTCAGTTAGGCTGTTTTTCCTGCATGCCAGTCAGAGCTTAGATGGCTCTGCTGACACGGAATGTTTTTCTTTGTTATTGCTGTCCTCCTCATCAGCACTAACACACACCAAGGGCCTATTGTGTACCAGGCACTGTTCTCGGGGCCTCCCACTAGACTTCTGAGTCTGTACTGTTTCCATCATGCAGATCAAGGAGCAGGGATGAAAGGAAGTCACAGGTCATGACTGAGACCAGAGCCAACGGTCAGAGTAATGACAATAAGATCCTGCTTCCCACCTCTCCCTTGCTGCTAACCCTGGACTCAGAAATTTGTCAGTGGAGAAAAATTCACAGTGAAAATGTCTCTTTGTGCTAGTTTTCACAACGCGGTGAGAAAATCTTTTCCTGAAACTTGGAGACAGTTTTCTTATTGAAAAGGAAGTCGCAGATGTGGCTGTAGCGATTGCCCTGGGGGGGTTCTGGTTGATGGCCTCAGAAGTCCTGTTTCTCTGATGTGTCAGTCTGTCGATTTTAGCCACTAACTTCTGACCTTGAACCAGACAAGTCTTCACAAAGACAGAGACAGAAAAATCATGGCAGGCTGGAAGCCATGTGGGAACCGGGCCAGACCTCACTACCCCTACCAACTCTTGAGGAATGACGGTGAAGCACGTTTTGTGCTTTCAATACTCTAAGTCACTTTTTTTAGCAGTTTGGGGTCAGGGGACTCCTGTATTCAGCTGCGTGTGGTCTTGACCATTCTTTAAAAGAAAAAATCGTTCAATAAAAACATCTTTCTTAGAATCCATGGAATCTTTTCCAGTTATACCCGGTGCAAATACACATCTTTAAGATGTATGCCCTCTAAGAACTATTTCATTCATCTGCTTCTTCATTCAACGAAGGTAGAGTGAAATTCCCCTAAAGACCAGGCTCTGTGTTAAACACTGAACATGTACTGTTGGACAAGACACTTCTCTGCCTTCGAAAAGCCCAAAGTCAGTTCTGGAAACGCACAAGGAAACAGGCGATTACCTGCTTGACAAGAACTCTGCTGATGAACGAGTTCATCGTCTTCAGTTACAGCCCATTTACGAAACGAAGTATCCTGTTCACATGGTCAGACTTAACCTGGCAAAAGTGCTTTGCGAGCTTAAAGCACCATATGGTTGTGCATTTTAATCCTTACTCTTACATCAATCACCTCACGTTGGCCAAAAGTACGGCATTAGAATGCTTGCTGCGTGTTTTTTACATACAATGAATATTTCTTTTTTTAGTCAGAAATGAGAAAAGCAGAAAAAGTACAGCTAAGATTCTTTCTGACCTCCGGATCTTCACCTGGCCCTCAAAAGCCATTTTCATGAGGTAAACTCTGCAGTCAGAAGAAACCGTGAGAGCCTAGGTTCTTAACTCCCCACTTAATCCAGTATTCTGAGGCCACATGCATTCCACAGGAAATATGATGCTGTGTCTCTTCAAAGAGAAGGAGATGTGAAGATTGCCTCACTTGGTTATCCTCAGATGATAGAATCTTCCCGTCGCCCCCCCCCCGTTTCAAACCAGACAAATAAAATTAACAGAGGCTGAAACCTACTTGCTCCTATGGCATAAACATGATGGCATGGTTACTGTTTTCGATCCCCTATTTTAGCTTTGCAGGATTGTAAAAGACCTATTCACAAAGTAAATGGAATAATGAAATTGCATATGCTTGCATCGGGCGTCTGAAGACATATCACAGTTCTTTTTAAAATAGCAGCACTTGGGAACATACCTACCATATGTCATTCCTGTTAGGACAACGTTCCAGAGAATTATGGCTTTGCATCTGACATGATGTGGGGTGCATACCGACTCGTACCTCTAGGTACGTTTACATGACCTACAGAATTTCCTCTGCTCGTGCCAAAGACGTGAAGAAGACCTTATGAAAAAGGCCGAAAATTACTCCACACTCTGTGTTCTACCCCAGGCTGCCACATGAGGGCATTCTTCTCCCAAAATACATGCAAGCAGGTGTAACCACGGATTTCTGCAAATAGAGAAAACAGGTGTAAGGTTATCTCAGGAGGGTCTTTGGCCTGGTGGGGAGTGTTTCATTATTGGCTGATTCTAACATAATATTTTTTTTCTTTACGTTACTTTTTCTTTCAGTTTCATAGGGTGCTGATCCATAGCTTGGATAACAACCGAAGACTGGCTATATTATTTAAGTAAATAGCTTTTGTTTGTGTTTGTGATTTGCAATTAGAGTGCCCTAATAAAACTGGTGGTTCGTTGTGCGTTTCCCATAGGGCTTTTTTGAAGAGGAGGAAGGTAAGGAGTATATTTATAAAGAGCCTAAGCTGACGGGCCTCTCGGAGATTTCTCAAAGACTGCTCAAGCTCTATGCGGATAAATTTGGTGCAGACAATGTGAAGATAATCCAGGATTCCAACAAGGTAAAGGAAAATCGGCATCCATGCACATGTGAATAACTGACTCCTTTTTTTTAGTTTTTTTAGCTGTATCTGTTAAGGTTTTCATTTTCTGCCTGACTGCAAAGTAACCTGCCTCAACCACACGGGAGGTTTTGCCTGTTTGTTTATTGGATGGTTGGCGATTTTCTTTTTTTTTTTTTTTTTTTTTTTTGTTTGAAGATTTTTTTTTTTTTTTTTTTTTTTTTTTTTTTGGTCAAAAATGTTATGTGTGTTTATTTGAGTAACTTTTAGGTAACCTTAGAAACAAGTTACTAAATTCTCTATTTCTGCCATAGATTACTTGCATTTGAATAGCAACCTAAGGGTTAAAGTGATTGGGCCCACTGTTCCTTCCAGAGCTCACGGTGCACACGGGGTTAAGAAGAGGTGGCTATATGCAAACGGTTAATTAAATAGAGCCCAGGGAGTTCCTCGGGAGACAGGTCTAAGTCACAGGGAGAAAGTTCAGGGCTCCCTGAGCAGATCATTCTTGGCTGGGCAATGCTTCACGGAGGAAGGATGTCTGATCTGGGAATCGCAGAGTGAGAAGCCGTTTGCCGGAAGCAGAGGGCATTCTGAGAAGCCCGGCACAGGCGATGCGAGGGAAGGATGAGAAGGGGGCACAATGGCAGGTGTCTGCAACACAGGTTGGACAGAAAAGTATAGCAGAGGAATGCATCTCAAAAAGCAGGTTGGTGCCCAAGTGGGGAGGCCGCTGTTGGGCCACCAAAGAAAAGGTCTCTTTTCTCCCCTCCTCTTTTACTCAGCTGGTATTTGGAGGGATCGGGGCATGAGATTCCTGGGTCTGGGCAGAAATTGTCACGATGTGCCCGTCACTCTCTCCCTTAGCTTGAAAGGTAAGATCCCCTTCCCCTTAAAGATGGAAAGAACTCGAATCACCCTCACGGTGGCACTCCTAAATAGGAAACATAGGGTTCCCAGTGAGATGAGAAAAATGCCCAATTTAGTGGCAGACATCTGCAGTCTTCATTCCATCATGGCACCTTCTATCAGCTGGTGATCCATCTTGGAGAAACTAGATAACCACTCTGAATTTTTTTTTTTTTAATCTGTAAAGTAGATACAGTTATACTCATCTTACAGTATAATTTTAGGAACATCATAAATAAGTTCATGAGCTTCCTCAAATTTCTGGAATCAGATAGGCAGTGAGTACGTAAACAGATGGAGAAAGCTGGAAGAAGTTTAAAAATTCTTCCAGAAATCTTTAGAAAAGAGGCTGAGAATCATCTCTTCCAACCTTGAAAATTCCCTGGCTCTTCTTGGGACCCCCTAGCCTGTCTTCCTTGCTATTTCTGAAGCTTATTCACCAAAGCAGAATTAGTAAAGAAATTATATAGGATGATTTATTGCAGATAAGAGAAGGTATTAGAGAAACTGAAAATAAATATATTTGCAATCATGAGACAGGCTAACCAGTTAATCCACTCAGCCAACAAAGCCCGAGCCCAGGTCTAGGTACATGGCTGAATCATCGAAGGACAAGGAGATATATTTCTACTCTTAAGAAGCTTGTTTTCTCCGGACACCTGGGTGGCTCAGTCGGTTGAGCGTTCAACTTAGTGTAAGGTCATAATCTCATGGTTCGTGAGTTCGAGCCCCACTTCGGGCTCGCTGTTGTCAGCGCAGAGCCGGCTTCAGGTCCTCTGTCCCCCTATCTCTGGCCCTCTTCTGCTGCTCTATTTCTCTCTCTCTCTCTCTCTCTCTCTCTCTCTCTCTCTCTCTCTCAAAAATACATAAAAAGAAAAAGGAAAAAAAAGCTTGTGTTCTAGACAAAAGTGAGGACATGCACTACAGAAGAGAAAGAAAAGAGGGGCACCTGGGTGGCTCAGATGGTTAAGTGCCCAACTTCGGCTCAGGACATGATCTCACGGTTCATGAGTTCAAGCCCCATGTCCGGCTCTGTGCTGACAGCTCAGAGCCTGGAGCCTGCCTGGGATTCTGTGTCTCCCTCTCTCTCTGCCTCTCTCTCTCTCTCCCCCCTCTCTGTCTCAAAAATAAATAAACACTTAAAAAGAAAAGAAAGGATATAAGTGAAACGCCTTAGCCAGGTGCGTATGTTTGGAAGAACGTCACTATCGGAAAGCTTGGCTCCAGTCCTACCTCTGCCACCATCTGGCTGCTTGACCGCAGTCCGGCCAGTTACTCTTTCTGTGCTTCCAGGGCCACCCAGCCTCTGAAAGGATCCGACTGCCTGTTCTTCCCCACAAGGACAGGGACAGGCCCGCAGGGTTTCAGCGGGGGGGACGCAGAGCGCCCTGCTCGCTTCCCGGAGCACCTGTGGCTCACCACTCTCTTCCCCCGTTAACGCGTCCACCCAGGTAAACCCCAAGGATCTGGACCCTAAATATGCCTACATCCAGGTGACCTATGTCACACCATTCTTTGAGGAAAAGGAAATCGAGGACCGGAAGACGGATTTCGAGATGCACCACAACATCAACCGCTTCGTCTTCGAGACGCCCTTTACGCTGTCGGGCAAGAAGCACGGCGGGGTAGAGGAGCAGTGCAAGCGGCGCACCGTGCTGACCAGTAAGTGCCGCCCGCGGCTGGGCAGAGCGCTGGCTGCAACGCGGGCCCCCTGGTGGGGGGCGGGGGTGGTTGTAGTCTCGCAGACAGCCACCCGACATGTGCGAAATTAGGAATGCTGGCCGGGGAGAGCTGGCGTCCCCCCCTTGGGAAGTCAACCAGGAGAGAAACCGCCCCTACGGTTACCTCATCCGCCCCTTCCCTGTAGATGTCAGGGCCGCACAGGTCATGGTGCCGGTGTCCCGGGAACAGCTCTGAACTTAACCACTCGTCCCTCCCTGAGCCCACCCCCGGTGACTTGAGGGTTAGCAGCTCTCAGAATTGTGTGCTTGGGGCAAGATTCTAAACCATTCTGGAGCTGGGGCTCCTCACGTGTCAACTGGACGCAGGGGATGACCTCCCACATCCCTTCCAGCGCTGTCTAGAGCTACTCTAGGAGCCGGGGAGCCTCTCGCTTACTGAGCAAACGTGCCGTGAGCGCCTGCTAGGTGCCGGGCGCCGTTCTGGGAGCTGAAACAAATACAACAGGACTCTTGCCCTCAGGGTTCACGGTCTGGTAGGAGAGAGCCAAGTAAAGCAAGACGTTCAGGTGAGCAGAGTATGAGAGAGAAAATGGGAATACGCAGGAGGGGCCCCTCAGGCCGACAGAGGAGAAAGACGCACAAGGGTATTCTAGAAGAATCTTGATGAGCAGTCCTGGATAGCGCAATGGATACAAGAATAGCAGCGACATCCAGATGACAGGACACATTCATCTTCCGGGAAACTTTTTCAGAACTTTTATCATAAACGATCAGAACAAAGAGATCATAACATGCTATTTGGTGGAGACGGAAGCATTCGTTAGTGTGGTTTAGTGTCGTTTTTATTTGAATTATAAGTTGTGAGGGAAACTGTAATCTTTTCAGTGGTTGGAGACTGTAAAGGCCTTAATCCAGCCCATAGAACGAGGACATGTTGGCCAGCCAGGTGCACAAGAGCAAGCCAGGCAACATTAGTTGGGCCAAAACCTAAGAGACATTAGACACCATGGTATACAAGAGAAAAAATAACACATACACAGAAAAAGTGCAGGGTGGAATGTGCTGTGTATAAAAAAGAGATACAAGGGGGGCCCCGGTGGCTCAGTTGGGTAAGCGACCGACTTCGGCTCAGGTCACGATCTCGCGGTCCGTGAGTTCAAGCCCCGCGTGGGGCTCTGTGCTGACAGCTAGGAGCCTGGAGCCTGCTTCTGATTCTGTGCCTCCCTCTCTCTCTGCCCCTCCCCCGCTTGCGCTGTATGTGTGTGCGTGCGCGTGTGTGCATCTCAAAAATAAATAAACATTTTCCAAAAGAGAGATAACAAGATCATCTGGACCTTCAGGGGTACCCTGGACGCCTCCCTAACCCTCAGGCCTCACATTCTCTCGCGTTGCTTCCGTGCAGCCAGTCACTTGTTCCCCTACGTGAAGAAGCGAATACAAGTCATAAGCCAGTCGAGCACAGAACTGAATCCTATCGAAGTGGCCATTGACGAGATGTCCAAGAAAGTTTCTGAGCTGAATCAGCTTTGCACAATGGACGAGGTGGACATGATCCGACTGCAGCTCAAAGTCCAAGGAAGTGTCAGCGTGAAGGTAGGCATTGTCCAGAGCAGGGACGCACACGGCCCGTGGCACCTGGTACCAAGTGCCCTGGAAATTTCTGACAGAGGATGTGAGAGCCATTTTTCTGTTCTGATACCATCCGCAACTTTTTCTGAGTCTTGAAAACTTTGTTTTGGGGCGCCTGGGTGGCTCAGTCGGTTGGGCGTCCGACTTCAGCTCAGGTCACGATCTCGCGGTCCGGGAGTTCGAGCCCCGCGTCGGGCTCTGGGCTGATGGCTCAGAGCCTGGAGCCTGCTTCCGATTCTGTGTCTCCCTCTCTCTCTGCCCCTCCCCCGTTCATGCTCTGTTTCTCTCTGTCCCAAAAATAAATAAACGTTGAAAAAAAAATTAAAAAAAAAAAAAAAGAAAACTTTGTTTTGTTGCCAGTGCGAACACCAGGAGATGAACCTTTTTTTCTTTTCTTTAAGTTTAGCTGAAATAAAATCCTCCTTTCCCATCTTCTCTGCATAAACTCTATTCTATATTCGAAAATCTAATGAGTGAACGAATGAATGAATGACAAATACGGCTGTCTCGTCAATATCTGTCCGTAAGAGCCTCACGAACATGTTCAGAAACAAATCCTTTGAAAATGTTTATTGGTTCACAAGATGTGTGTCGGTATTTATCTGAGTGTCAGGGGCCTGGTAAGGCAGCAGATGGCCTGCTCACTGTGGGTGATTAAAGAAAAGAGAACAAACGGACTGTTTGCAGAGGTATAAGCAGTATTTAGGACAAACAACACGGTGGGCACAGGAGCTGACAAGACCGAGGGGCTGTTACCCACCCCTAGATCCGGAGCTGGAGAGGAGACAAGAGTGAGTTGAACAGAGCGAGAGCTCGGAGAGCCAGCTGCTGAGGCTACCTCTGCCAGATAGAGGACCACACAGAGGAAACCCTGTGGCCAACAAACCCAGCCCGGCTGGGACCAGGGAGATTCGGGTGAGGCACTCACCTCGGGCACAAAATGTAAGTGGGCATCAAAAACCTCAGTACCCAGGATAGAATAATATTTGTGCGATGCCAACAATTTATAATGAGCAAAGAGTTAAAGTTTTAAACAAAGGCAGGCCCGTAACAATGCCGTGTGGAACTACATAGGAGCCCGAGGCAAAAAGGACAAATCAGTGAGGCCGACCCTCATGTTGACCTGCTCGCCTCTTCCCCGCCCACCTTTTCTCCGTGTCCCCATGGCTGACTCGAAATAGTAATAATAATTTTTTTTTTTTAAGCCAGAAGGCAAAAGAACCATTGCTGTCCTCCAAACGGGACAGCTTCTCTCAGCATAGAGCTGTGTCAAGGAAGGTGGACGTTGGACCGGGGGGCACGACAGGGAGCATCCAGAATGTTTAGTCATTGTGCCATGCCGGCAATACCTGGCCGGCACGGGCATCTGAAGGCAGCTCGAATACAGTGTTAGCTTCCTTCTGCTGTGACCTTATTCCTTCCAAGCCCCACAGTCACATGAAGAGACCATAAGCACTAAAGGGTACGGACTCCTTCGTGAACGGAAGCCTACGCATGTGTGCGCGCAGGAGTGGGTCCTGGCATCGTGCATTCATTCGGCAAATCTGATAAATGCCTCTTCCGGCCGGAATGTAGGCCAGGCTGTTAAGCGGAATCCGGTAAAACAGTGACTCCCAGGGTGGTGCATACGCGCGAATGGCTGCCATTAATAGTGAAGTGTTGACTTGAATGTGAGTAGAAAAAAAAAAAAATAAGTAGTACATCACCCATTTGATTTCACAGATATTAAAATTCAACGTGAGTAAATCAAAACGAGTCTAGGTTTCAAAGATATTAAGAAAATAACGGTGCCAGCCGAGTGCAGACGTGACAAAAAATGTGAAACGAGGGACAAGTGACCGTTTGAGAGAAGGTACCGTGAGGTATAGCACGCAGCTGGATCCTTCAATAACTTACTGACTTCTGAGTGGGGGGACAGCAGAGAAGACAGGTAACAAATCGGTGGACCCCGCAGCAGCATGAGAGGATGTGGGCGCTGCATGATGGAAGCTACTCCTTCTAGCTGCGGAGAAGGCTCCAGCCAAGGGGGAGATGGGTTTCTCCTCAGACGTTTCTCTTCTCCCCCCACAGGTTAACGCTGGGCCGATGGCCTACGCACGAGCTTTCCTTGAAGAAACCAATGCGAAGAGATACCCTGACAACCAAGTAAAACTTCTGAAGGAAATATTCAGGTAAGCTTTTCTTTGTCGGAATGTTCTGGAACTCCTTCAGGCAGGAGCCACCCGCCCGACCCTCTCCAAGGCAGCAGAGTCTCACCGAGGCCCGACTTTGCGTTGCCGCTTTCTGGGGCTGGCTGTTAATTTGCTGACTGCTGTCCCCAAAGGCAATTTGCAGACGCGTGTGGACAGGCCCTTGATGTGAATGAGCGCCTCATCAAGGAGGATCAGCTGGAGTACCAGGAAGAGCTGAGGTCCCATTATAAGGACATGCTCAGTGAACTCTCCACAATCATGAATGAGCAGGTAAGACCTTCCTGGAGGCGGCCCACGCTGCCAGTTCATAGGAAGTGCCCATTTTAGCCCCGGTGCCAGGAGGCCTGTAAATGCCTCCTCTCTTTCGTGACCACCATGGCGCTGAGTTGCTCCCTCCTCCACGTACAACACTCCGTGCCTCTCCAAAGAGAGATCAGGTTGGGGAAAAATCTATTTAAAAAACAAAAAAGAAGATGAGAACCCAGGTGATTTCCGAAGTTCTCAGATATGTTTAGCCAAACCATATGAGCTATTGGTTTTCTAGAACAGATGGAACCTATTAGACAGTAAGGAACAGCGGGCGACGTTCCACTAGGTTTGCTGCCACTCCCGTCCCGGATGTAGGACGTCCCAACTCCCAGGCTGTGACACGGAGTCCCACAGTTCCGCCACCAGGGGTCTCTGCGCCATACTCCAGAGGAACGCCAGGACTAAGGGCCTGGCTCATCAAGATGGAGACTGCCTCTACACAGGCTGGGCCTCCTGAAGATGTGCAGAACTGGGTAGAACTCGATCCTCTACCCCACCAGCAAGTTATCCATGATTTCTGGCATGTAGCCAGCATGTTCTATAAAGCTGTGCACAAAATCTGGATATTCATTAATCACGGTATTTGGGAGGGACACATAATCAAGTGGTCCAAAGCCAAGCGCTATTCTTTGGCTTCCCAGCATCCATCAACTCTCACACGGGACTTGGACATCTATCTTATTACCCGTGGCCCCCTCCAGAAGTTAGATGTGCTCTTTATGGAATAATTGAGGGAGGGGGACAATTTGAATAATCTCCTGATAGTGCCTCATGCATAGTAGCCACTCACTAAAAATGCATTTCCTTTCGTCTCTTTAAATGGCCGAGCACTGGGGCGCCTGGGTAGCTCAGTCAGTTAAGCGGCCGACTTCGGCTCAGGTCATGATCTCACGGTCCGTGGGTTCGAGCCCCGCGTCGGGCTCTATGCTGACAGCTCAGAGCCTGGAGCCTGTTTCAGATTCTGTGTCTCCCTCTCTCTGACCCTCCCCCATTCATGCTCTGTCTCTCTCTCTCTGTCTCAAAAATAAATAAATGTTAAAAAAAAAAATTTTTTTTTTAAATAAATGGCCGAGCACTATCCACACTATTCACAAAGCCTGAAATGTATCACATGAATGTTTTCTTCTGAGTGCATTTCCCACATGTTTCTTTTTTCTTCTTTTCCATTTCCTTTTACTCACATTTTAATTTTTTTTTTAATGTTTATTTACTTTTGAGACAGAGGGAGAAAGAACGTGAGCAGGGGAGGGGCAGGGAGAGAGGGAGACACAGAATCCGAAGCAGGCCCCGGGCTCTGAGCTGTCAGCACAGACCCCGACACGGGGCTCGAACTCACGGACCGTGAGATCATGACCCGAGCCAAAGTCGGACGCTTAACCGACTGAGCCTCCCAGGCACCCCTCCTTTTACCCACATTTTAAACTCTCCAGAGTAGCCAAAAACATTGGTTAATGGACTTACGTTGGAGATCATTTATCTTCCTGGCTAGGGTTCCTCAATGAGGGATTATTATTAGTGGTTTCAGATGATTAAGAGGTGATGGGAATTAAAAACTCAAGAGGGATGCCTCGCTTGCAAGGGGTGATCACATCTGAGAGTGAAACAAAAATAACAAGCAATGGATCTTAAAGTTGGGAAAGGTGGTCAAGAAATGCTTGTTTCCAACTGTAAATTGCATCTGACCTTGAAACTTCTGGCCAAAAAATGCTTTTCTCTTTTTTTTCCTGACAGCTTTGTCACGGTCCGTGTCTGTACAGCTTCTGTTCCTCTGTGTCTAGTATTTCCCTCAGTACTATAAGCAAAAGTGGTATGTTTTTCTTTCCTTATGTCTACACTGTCCTTTGTGGCCTTCTAGTCTGCCTACCCCTTCCTACTTGTTCATATTCCCCAGACATCTCCATAGTGACTAGTGTTCTCTGAGTGTTTCATTAGAAGAACTTTATTTCCATTTCAAGATAGGTTGATGTGGGGTGGGGGGAAGCTTGCCAATCAAAGTTAACAACTTAGCTTTTTTTGTAAGTTTATTTTATTTATTTATTTTGAGAGAGAGAGAGAGCACACACCTGCAGGGGAGGGGCAGAGAGAGAAGGAACAACAGAGAATCCCAAGCCATGGAGCCCAGTTCAGGGCTCCAACTCAAGAACCGCGAGATCATGACCTAAGCCCATGACTTGAGTCAAAATCAAGAGTAGGACGCTTAACTGACCGAGCCACCCAGGCATCCCAACAACTTAGCTTTTAAAAAGAAAATTCATACTCCCCCAATTTATAAAGTGTATTTGATTGAGCTCATTCGTATCCTAAACAGAGGTTCCGTATACCTCAAATTGGAACAAAAACAAAATAAAACAAACAAAAGAGACAAAGACAAGAACCAGGTGATTAAGAGGAGAGAAAAATAATTTTTTTCCCCAGGAAACCTTTGCTAAAAGAAGCAAAGTCAAAACAAAGGTTCTGTGCTTCCTGGAAATTGACACAAAGAAAAGAAATGGATGGATGGCACAGATCATATTATTCAGTAAAATAGACAGATTTGTCAGCAGGAAAGATCGACTTTCTCCCAGTCCTGGAAATTTGTCACATCAGTATTTATATATGGGACAATGACTACAATATGTGTCCTGTAACATGTACATGGTATCTTCAAAAAAAGTTTTCCTTAAAACTGATTTACTCTACTACATTTCCACCTTAGATTGAAATGAGGACAAAGTATTAACTCCTAGCTCTGTAAAAGAGAGTCTAGAGGAAGAACTGGTTAATCGATAATTATCAATCATAAGTATAAATTGTCCATAGCAAAACATAAGTTATCTAGAGCAAAAGAAGCTATTGTCATGGCAAGTACTGACAAGTGTTACTTGTTGGTTGTAATGAACAATTTCCTGAAATCAGAAATAGCCAGTGATAAAGATCTACAAAGTCCACAGTATTTTAAAAAATGGGTATTTATCTCAGTTCAGATTTACAACAACAACAAAAATTATTTGCTTCTTTTCTCAATTTTCCTTAATGAAAGGCACCTGGCCATAATGATTGGGTTCAAAGTGTACTGGAGGGAAGAGTAGTCAAATTTTAGTATAATCCTGTAATGCATGAGCAAACCATAATCTGTAATGCATGAATACATTCACATACTTTTATACTCATGACATGTTCTGGGAAAAGTTACATATATAATTACAGGGAAGAGAGAAATTCTACCATTGAACTTTTAAAAATAGAAATAGTGGGCATTCACTTTTGAATGTCCCCTCTCTGAAAGCTTTCCTACCATTCTTCCTTTTGATCTTATACTCTAATAAACTTTAGCCTGCTGCGAAAGAAAAGGAAAGAAAAGGAAGGAAGGAAGGAAGGAAGGAAGGAAGGGTTAGAATAGATACAGAACTTTAGAAAAACAAAAATAGAATTAATTGGGGCACCTGGGTGGCTCAGTTGGTTGAGCATCCGACTCCAGCTCAGGTCATCATTTCACAGTTCGTGGGTTCGAGCCCCTCATCAGGCTCTGTGCTGACAGCTGAGAGCCTGGAGCCTGCTTCGGATTCTGTGTCTCCCTCTCTCTCTCTGGCCTCCCCTGTTCTCTCTCTCTCTCTCTTTCAAAAATAAAAAATAAAACATTGTTAAAAATTAACAAAAAGAAAGAAATAGAATTAATTATGCAACTCATTCCAAGAGTGTCCAGAAAAATCTCAGCTAACAGGGTATCCTAAAGCCACCTAATTAGTGAAAGAAACGTCAGTGTAAGGAATGAGATGGAAGAGGATAAAAAGGATAGACGAGATAAAGCAGTTGGAGTTGCTAAATGACAGGCAGACAATAACTACCTTTATAGGCAGCCGGGAACGCCACACTATTTTATAAGTAGCCAAAACATCAAAGCGTCCTTTAACGGAGGCGTGAGACATACATGTAAGTAACTGGATGAAACATAAATATAAGATGCTCATTTGGAGTTGGCTCCAGCGGTGAGGACGACAGCATAGTGAAGTCAGCAGCGGGAATGGATCTCAAATATAAAGTACAGAGAGAGGAACAGATCCACTCTGCCACAGTGCCAAGGAGGCAAGATGCAAAGTCATATTGTTCTGGGAGCTTCAGATACCTTATGCACACATTTCCCAAATTACTGGCACAGAACTTGTGGCGTTGATCGTAAGAATTTGTTGGCAGTATAGGGTACCCAGATGCTTGGTGCCTTGTGCAGACAGAAGTGTTAATCTGTCTTAGAAGAAGGTTAGAGCTAAACCACAGTAATTTGTGAAGCTAGTGGGAAAATCTTCATAACTAGAAATTTGAAATATTCATTAAGTCTTTTCTTTACAGAGATACATCTTAGAGATGTCCAGGGGGTCTACTCTTACTGTAATATTTACATTTCATTATTTGAACAGATCTGACAGGAGAGTATTATTTGACACGTTAATATTATTTTCAAAGTCAGGTCAAGGTATATTTTTTTTCGTACATTGAATTTCCATTAATGCAAACATTTAAATGACCTTTCAGATGCTTCCCTTTCTTGTAGATGATAATATGAATTACAAACTTTTAAAGTAAAGTAAAATTCTGGAATTATTCAGATACCATCATAAAGCGGTTCACTTATAAATTCATATGTGATAGCTGAAGAGTACCGTGAAGCTATTTTTTTTCAGTATATGAAATTTATCGTCAGATTGGTTTCCATACAACACCCAGTGCTCATCCCAAAAGGTGCCCTCCTCAATACCCATCACCCACCCTCCCCTCCCTCCCACCCCCCATCAACCCTCAGTTTATTCTCAGTCTTCAAGAGTCTCTTATGCCGTGAAGCTATTTTAAATCTTGCCACAATGCTGACGGCAGGGGCTTGGAAAAAAAAAAAAAATTCTTCAGAACTACTCTAATAAGTACATTTGCAAAAGCTTGCAGAATCCTTGTGGGGAAGAAAAAGGTCCTTGTTCTGGCTTTTAATTTCGCGTTTGGTGATATTAACATGAAACTCTTGATCTTCGCTCTGTTTTGTCCTGTTGTATTTTGTCCTGTCAAGATTATGTGCAGGGACGACCCGTCAAAGCGCGGAGCGGAGCGAACCTGTCCTCGAGTAATTAGCAGGCCGGCTCCCCCTTTACCCACTGTCTCCATCTCAGCCAGTGAGGACGCTTGAAGGGAGGTCTACTGCATCAGACACGCCTCGAAGGGACCCTTCTGAATTTGTAGCTCATCTCGGGGAAGAGAAAGACTTAATTTATTTGAAGTTTTTATAGTATTAATATTTTTTTTTTTTTTTACCTCGCTAGCTTGAGAATTTCGCCAGCTTTCGGCTTTGCACATTTCTTATGATTTTTTTTATTCCTTTGAGCAGCATTGATCAAGCCAAGCTGAATATTTGCCGTGAAATTCCAACGAATGTGTAGCTCAAAAGCAAACCCTAAGTTTGCTGTCAGTTATAATATGTTCAATACCAAGTCCTAGTACACATATTTTAAAGGTCAAAGTGAATGTTTTTGTAACATTTAAGCATATTCCAAATGTAAATAGAAGATTGTAAAATATATGGTTTTTACCAAATTTAAAAGAGCCTTTTTAGTTAATACTTATGACAGTGCTAAAATTATATGAATAACATTTCAGATACCATTATATTAAAATATTTGTGTATGTGTACAAACATGTTGATAAATACTAATCTCTAAAGTTTGTGGAGTTCCTTTATTTGTAATATATGTGCTCTCAAAAGCAATGGGATGTGAAATTATGTATTTTGTTGTTCATAGAAATAAAAAATACAATTCCTTTGCATTTGGTTCCCTCTTGAAGAGTGGGTGAATTGCTCCTAAAAGTGGTTCACTGCTGGACGTCTGCTAACGCAATGTTACACTCACTCCCTGCAGTGCCTTTTCAGGAAGGCAGGAAAAGAACTCAACCAGCAGCCAGGCAGTTCTTCCAAAGATCAATTGGATGGGCCAGGGGTTTCCAAAGTTAGATCACTAGAATGGTTGGGGAAGATAGAATGAATCAGAATCTTAAGGGTTGTGGTATTTAATAGGACTCTTCACAAATATTCCATCCGTACGCTCTATAAACCTGTGGTAGGAGTGCACGTTCCTGCCTCTTTTGAAGTTAGACTTGACCACGTGACTTGCTTTTGAAATGTGAGCAGAAGTGATGTGTGTCATTCTCAGGCAGATCCTTAAAAGCCAGTGGGTGGTGCTGCCCAGTCCCTTCACCGAAGCAGTCACATGGAGATGAAGCCTCTATCAGCCTGAGTCCCCAAGTGACCACAATGAGCACACACACACACACACGCACACACACACTAACCTTGTCGAACTAACATTCCCACTGATAGTCTGAGTAAGAAATACATTTGGTTGGGGCACCTGGGTGGCTCAGTCGGTTGAGCGTCTGACTTCGGCTCAGGTCATGATCTAGCGGTCCGTGAGTTCGAGCCCCGTGTCGGGCTCTGGGCTGATGGCTCAGAACCTGGAGCCTGCTTCGGATTCTGTGTCTCGCTCTCTCTCTGCCCCTCCCCCGTTCATGCTCTGTCTCTCTCTGTCCCCAAAATAAATAAACGTTGAAAAAAAAAATTTTTTTAATAAAAAAAAAGAAATACATTTGGTTGTATTAAGGTCCCCACGATTCAGGACCTGTTTGTTACTGCAGCATTATGAGCTCATCCTGGCCGACCTGTGTTTTCAACAGAGTTGTGACTGATCTCCAGCCGGGTCTGGGAACCACTAACACATCCTACCTCCTCCCTCAGCCACCCCTGTCCCCCAGCCAACGCTGGCAGCAGTGAGACTGATCTGAGCTGCCTCCAGATGCGGAAGGCAAGCTCAGGAATATCATTTTATATTCATCCTCCACAGCCCTTCCAAAGGTCCAGCCTCAAATTAGGGTACTTTGGCTGAGTTCGTCTTTCTCCTTCAAAAGTCCGTTGGCCAGGGTCTACAGAGGGCCACAAAGGAAGGTCGAGCTTAGACATATTTAAATGCTGTGAATGCAGAAGGGATGGAACAATATGTTAGATGAGAATTCTGATCACTCAAAATGTATGTAACTGTTCTTTTCTAAAATAGAACTCAGTGCTTTATTAAAAAACAAAACAAAACAAAACCCTGTGATGAGCTAACATCTGATACAAGGTATCACTCCAAGCTTCATCCTGACTCCAGCTCTCTGGATATCTGTCTGGCTGTGTTAGAATCTTTGTTCTTCTGACCTAATTTCGCATCATTCCAGCCCCAGGAACTTGGGAAGACTCTGCTCGTGCTGTTGTTCCCTCCCAATTCCCACCCTTAGCTTCAAGTCCTCGAGCCCATCCCAACACACTCACCCCCCTGCCCTGACACTGTGAAACATGGGATGCCTGTCCAAATCTGCAAATAAAATCTCTAAGGAAGTAATCGGAAATAATAGATTTTTTTTTACTCCCACTAAATAGTGTAGTTTTGCAACCTCTCTAGAAAAAATCAACTAAGACCATTCTGCCTTAACAGCATCAAAACTCACTCTGCAGAATCCCAAAGTGTTGTGTTCCTTCCTTCTTTTTTTTTTTTTTTTTAATTTTATTTTAGAAAGAGAGCACACAAGCAGGGGGGAGGAGCAGAGGGAAAGAGAGAGAGAGAGAGAGATTGAGAATCTTAGGCTGCACACTCATCATGGAGCCCAGCACGGGGGCTCAATCTCACAACCCTGGGATGACAACCTGAACCAAAGTCAAGAGTTAGAGGCTCAACTGACTAAGCCACCCAGACGCCTCTCCTTCCTTCTTTAGACCAGATGCATTGAACTGGCTTCTCCGACTGAAACCAACACACACGTCTTATCTGTTCCACATGGTGTCTTTAGTGTTTTCAATTAGATATCAACACTTAAATATTTGGACACATAAAATTCCAGCTTCTTGGTATCTGTTAAAAGAATCAGGCTCTCTGGCAATGCCAGATTCATATTCCCACATGACAGCAATCAGTTAAAACGGAGACACTGTGGACCCCATTATATGTGCTTTCCAGCTTGCCAGAGTTGGCACCAGGCCCTAATTGACTTACACCAGATCAGCCCCCCCTTATTTGTATTTCCTGCCTAGACCCTATAAGCATGTGCAGATCCCTATTCAAAAGCGTAGTGATCACTAGATGTGGACAGCAGATCATCTGCTTCAGAATCAGGCAGGACGCATGTTAAAATGCACATCTCTGGGTTGTATCAAACCTCCTGAAATAGAAACCCCTAGGAGCTATAACCAGCTCCATGGGACTCTCAGGCACAACAGGTATAAAAATTCCACTGAGTACTCTAATTAACTATCTCTAAAAATATCCTTTGCAGAAGACTCTGCCTTGTAAACCAGAGACCCGATTTTCAGTTGCCAAGACACTGAATTCTTATTTTATATTCTTTTCATCTTTATATAACCTTTCTCAAAACAATCTACAGTATTTTACTCAAATTAATAACTCCTCAAAATAAGCTCTGTAAAAAAAAATGGTAGTAAATTTCACAGTTCTACGAATGGAAAGAACAAAAATAAGACAAGTGGCATCATTTTCCATATTTACTCTAGAAAGTATCCAACACAGAATTTGTGGAACTAGTGCTTAGGTTCAGTCCTGGCTCTGTCCACCATCCATTCATCATCCCACCCAGCAGCTACCTCTCTTCCCATTCCCATTTCAAAGTGCAAAATGCACAGCCTATAAAAAAATTAACGTGTCCCTGCATTTTGGGTAACAATTACCTTACAAACAAGTGTCCATTATCCAAAGTCACCCAGTATGTCCTATTTTAACTGTGTTCTCGTCCATTTTGAAGCCAATATGAAAGGGCCCCATCAGCCTGTTTCCTTCATAATGACATATAGCTTTGTGAAACATGGAGAACATGTTACAAGGAAATATCAGCTTTCAGAATCCTGAAGGTTGCTCTGCAAGATTTTACCATATATGCAGACTGATTTTTCATCTCATAGTATAGTCGAATGCCAGAAAGATACAGATAGATAGATATAAATAGATAGATATAGATAGATAGATAGATGATAGATAAATGATAGATGATAGATAGATAGATAGATAGATATAAATAGATATATAGATGATATGTACTCTTTGAGCAGTACTCTTATGAGCAATTAGGAAATGAAACAAATTTGAGAGCAAATGTGACAAATGATCCCAAATCACACTTTAAATTTGCTTATAACATGGGGTGCCTGGGTGGCTCAGCCGGTTAAGCATCTGACTTCAGCTCAGGTCAAGATCTCATGGTTTGTGAGTTCAAGCCCCATGTCGGGATCTGTGCTGACAGTTCAGAGACTGGAGCCTGCTTGGGATTCTGGGTCTCCCTCTCTCTCTCTGCCCCTCCCCCACTTGTATGTGCTCTCTCTCTCTCTCTCTCTCTATATATATATATATATATATCAAAAAGAAATAAAATGTAACAAAAAAATTTTAATTTGCTCATAACAAGTGGTCCCCATATCCTTCACTCCCACATTTGTATCAGTGAAAAATTGATATCATATCATATGCTTATAATGTGATATTTTTGTTCATAAAGTGATGAAGTACAGAAGTACAGGCATGGCTAATGTTCAAGATTCTCTACAGGAAGCCCCTTGTCCTCCTCCTAGTTTCGTATCCTGCCTGTTTGCTTACATGTACCCTTGACTTAGAGCTACCGTGTTCTGCTCACTTGGAAACAAAAAACAAAAAACAAAACCTATCGTGTGCCTCTTCGGACTGAAAGATCCCTTTTCCTTTTCTCCAACCACACAAATCCGACCCATAGACCTCAGGACCATGGGAACTCAAACTGGTGGTGCACGCTGTGACACCACCCCAGTTCCATCCCTTTAGGACTGAAACACCCTTTCTGCCAGTTGCTGGTACCCCCTGGAAGCTAAGGGCTCTCAACTGAGTCCCCCTGGCCCAAGGTCACATCACTCACCCTGACGAAGCTGGCCCTCAATGACTGGTTGATGGTGGAAACTGCAAAGGCCTGGCTTCATTGCCCCAATTCAAGACAGCTCCAAAAGGCCATCTCAGCTCCCAGCTCCTAACTGAGGCCATCTGGAACTACATCACAGCTCAGCTCCTCCCCTATGCCCAGTCATCCTCTGAAGAGAACTCCAAAGAGGCAGATTGGTTCCCAATACATTTCCTGCATGGACACCTCCACATAGACTCTTTTTCTTTGGGAATGGCTCAGGGCAACAGCTTTCCAGAAGCTTTGCTTATGACCCTTGTTCACCTGGATTTCACCTCCTCTGCCCTTCATTGGCCATATCGCCTTTAATCATCCATTTTCCTTTTCTTAGTTACATTTTCTTTTTATGTGTCCATGTGTTCTTTCCAACCATGTCATGCCTTCCTTGAAGGCATATTTTGTCTTAATCTTCTTTGTGGTCTTGGCAGTTCAGATTGCTGCACTGCACTTCAGAGTTCTGGAGCCAAGTTCTCAAACTTCTGTCAGGATGGAGCAGTTCCAGAAAAAACGCTACGGGCGGTGGGGGGGGGGGGGGGGGGGGGTGCGGACAGGGAGCAGTGGGAAGAAGAGCAAACTGTGGGACGATGGGTTTGAAACCAGAAGTCATTGTAGGAACAAGTGTCCTCGAATCTCTTTTTTAAATATTTTTTTAATGTTTATTTCTGAGAGAGACAGAGACAGAGAATGTGAGTGGGTGAGGGGCAAAGAGCAAGGAAGACACAGAACTCGAAGCAGGTTCCAGGCTCCATGCTGTCAGCACAGAGCGAACATGAGGCTTGAACTCACAAACTGTGAGCTCATGACCT